AAACAACTGGGTATTGCCACCTTTAGAGTTAAGGGTTTTAACCAGGCTTGAGCCTTTGGTTGGGGGGGGGGGGGTCCCATTTGCTACTCCGCAATTTGTATCATGAGATCGCCTCCCACTCAGATGTGATGTGTCCCTTTTTGATCACAAACAATCCCCCCAATAACTAACAAAATGACTTGTTCATTCCCCATTATTTTGGGAAGGCAGTGTAGTTTTGCATTGTGTCTGAAGTTTAGCCTATTACCTTTCTGCATTTCCCATGCTTCTTTAGCATAAAGGTCCCAGTTCCTGTTGTGCAGTGTGAAAGCCATACACGACAGTGGCCAGGAGCTGCCCTGAAGACACATCACTTACCCATTGTACCCATCCACAATCTTTAGTATCCTCTCTTTCATCTCTTCGAAAGGAATGTACTCCACGTTGGGATTGGCCGGGCCACGCTGCTCTGGGCTTGAGGCCCGGAAGTCATCCATAACCTTTTCCAGCTTGAAGAGGAAGTAGCTTTTAAACTGCGACCACTGGAGCCTAGATGAAAGGGAGTATTTTGACTTAACAGAACCATTATCATTCAAATTAATGAATAAATAGACAGAAAACCATTATTTAAATGACCAACATCCTACAGATGGTATTGGGGTGGGGGAGATTACAAAGGACAAACTTCTTGATTGAATAGGTGATTATATACCACAGTCAATCGTATACTCACATTTCATGTGGGAATACGAAAGGGATAACATGGAACCAAATGGAACATACAGCAGTCCAAAAAGGCACTGCACAAGAAAGTAAAACTGCCCAAGAATATCTGAAGCTCCTGAGGCAGCTTGTTTCAGCTGAGCGCTTTCATCAGGTCATTATTGGAGGTCTCCTGATTCAGCTCCCTGCATAGCTACACCTGAACACTAAATGCCGACTCATCCACAAAGGCACTGGGGGCTACACCTGAGCACAATGGTGCTCCCCGATTTCCAAAGGTCAAGCGAGTACATTAACATGCAAAGTAGTGCAACAAAAAACCCTTGACCTTCCTAGCCCACTTCCTGAACCATACGTCATTCCAACTCAAAGCATTTTTGTATTATGAGAAATACACAAATATAGAATTTTTCAGAAAATCTGGAATTCCAGCAAAGAAAATTGGGCTTCTTCTTGATCATTTGGCAGTTCTACAGGTCCATAAGGAACTGTATTATATGCCCTGATAACAGTAAACTTGCATTGAGATCATAAATAATATTTACCACATAAGTACAAAAATTTTTTCCTCATATAGATTAAAAGTAATTGCTTCTTTGCTTTTCACCATTTTGGCTTAAAGGTTTCGTAGAAATGCTCCATTTTTGGATAGTAGGGGAAACCTGTACTAAATGTTTAACTCACTAAAACTGAATTCCCATATGATGAATATTAACAAGGCCCTTAACCCCTGGCTCCCTGGGCACTGTGACAGGTGGTTGCCCTTCGCAGCCAGTTTGCTACCACCTACAGAGAGCAAGTTGTGGAAGGTGTAAAGAATTTCCCCATAGGGATCAATAAAGTATCAATTATTAATTATTATTATTATAAAGCATCCATTCGCTTTTGTTATTCAGACACAGTGCCTTTGGTTTACAGCCATCCATCCATCTTCTGTACCCGGTTCGCCAGTTTAGGGTCATGAGGGGTCCAGAGCGTATCTCAGAAGATACAGGCGGAAGGCAGCAAATAACCCATGATGGAGCCTTGGGTTTACAACCGTTTCTTATCGTTTTTGTATTTGCAATTTTAGTAATAAAGAACTACAAAACAAATTCAGTTTTCCCTGCTGTACTGAAATTACACCAAACCGTGAACACAAAACCGAGGTTGATACTGAACCATGCATTTTGTGTACGGTTACATCCCTAGTAGAGGAATCATCCTTCTGTGCAGGTCTCACATTTCACTACTGCCAGGAATGAAAAACTATCCAAGAACATGACAGGAGCAAAGGAAACACTTAAAAAAAAAAAAAAAAAACCCTGTGACACATGGTCAAACATAATGAAGTGTTAAAGCTTTTTCACTGAAGACTACATGCAGTTACTTTGCAGTGCTGCACCAAAAGCCAGACACTGCACAACATATGAAGAATTTGACCATGGCAGTTTTCAGCACTCTCCCTTTTAAAGCCTATTTGAATATCCCAAGTCACCTTTTCTTCCAGTGGGATGGAAGCAAATTAAAATGCCTCATTCAGAAGCTAAATGTCTCTAATATTATGGTAAACAATGAAGGATAACAATTATAAAATCTCAATAACATATACAAGTCATCTATGTATCAGCAGCCAGCCATAAATCACCTTGAAAGGGTATAACATTTCCTGAAATAGTTACATTTTAAAATTCTTCTGTAATAATGTATTTTTTCTGTTTTTCTGTTACTACAACACTCACCTTATACTGGACTGACTGACACAATTACCAGTCGACTACTGAATGGTTGTAGTAATCATAAATGCAGTGTTTACAAAAAATAAAGTGTCAAAGCTGGAAGATACCAGTATTACATCAAGACAAAAATCCAGCTTTTGCTTTTTCTCCCAAAAAGCAACACATTTTAGACACAATGTCACATTTAAATCCACTTCTTGTTTTGTCTCATGTAAGCAATGACGCCCGAGGCAAAGCCCAGGATCTCCAAGGTGTGGAAAGAAACATGCACCCTTCATACCAGACCAGAATGACTACACAACCCTTCCATGATTTAACATCTATGCAAAATTCAACAAAATCACAATTTCAGGTAACTGGAAGACAGCAGCTACAAGTGAAAACAAAGAGTATAAGGTTTATTTTGTGCTATAGGTAATATGTACCTACAATGTATGCCAACCCTTCTCAGTTTGCTGAGTCTGCTACAGGTGTCTGCCTGCCAACCGCTCCCTTCCTTTGGCAGAATTTAAGAAGCAGCACTCTTTCAGTGCTATATGTCTGAACTATCACAGGGATACATGTGTTCTTGGTAAGATTTAAAAATCAGGAAAAATGCGTTTCTCCGACTGGAGATGGGAGGAAGAAAATAAGAAAATGAAACTGAGAATATATGAGAGAGAGAGAGAAGAGAGAGAAGAGAGAGAGAGAGAGAGCTAGCTGTCTCGGCTAGCTGGGTAGCTAACAGGCCTCTACTTATGCGCGGCCGGCTGGCTGCTGTTGGATATACTTACACAGTCTCTCCAGTTTTGGCGACATGGCATAGAAACTGGTCTAGGACCGGACACGCTTCTTTCTTCCCTTTCCTTTCAAAATCTGAAAATATGGAAATACGATTGACATTTAAAAATACATCTAATACAGTTTCCCCACACTCAATCTACCTGTTCTATTCAGCAAAAAAAAAAGTTAAAAACCGGGAGTCCTGAGCCTAGATTAAGCGATAAGTTCTCTTAAATTGGGGGGGGGGGGTAATCACGTGACGGTGTCCTCTCCGTCACCACGGCTCGTACGTTTGTGTCTCCACCAACACGCCGCCCGCACGGCTAACCAGCTAACTACAGTAACTACCCAGCACCGGCTTCAGGGTAAAGTACGCTGCCTTATAAACCCGGACTGCTAAAACCTTGACAGTGAGAGCCCATTTCAATCGGCCACACGGTGTTACAACTTTGTGATATCATAAACGGAGACCCCTTCAATTTAAATTTTCCTGACACAAAATTAGCAACATTCAACACCCTTGCTAGCCAGTTAGCCTCTCGCCGTTCAAATTCTAATAGTATTTCCTTCGGCCTTAAACGCCTCTTTCCTCTGACATCCACTCAGCGCCTAGACAACGGGAATAACCTTTGAAAGCCTCCAGAAGTGTATCGATCTCCATAATTGTTGTATTTTCTCTCCCCTCCGTAATCCAACAGGAAACAGAAAGCTGGCACTGCGACCGAAACAAAAAATCAGCAGCAGCAGCACTTCAATATGGCGCCCGTGACGTCACTACCCGCTTACGGAGCGACTGAGCATGTCCGTCACAGCTCGCCGCTCAAGTAGCCGCTCGGACCGCGACTTATTTAAACGGACCATCTCGTCACAGACGGAGGTCTTCGCGGCGGGCGCGTGGCCGTGTGTGACGCTGGAGACAAGTGTTACGTGAACGTCACATGCACGTGCATAGTGCATCGGAATCGAGCGTTTAATGATTAAAAAAATATATAGATTTGTTAATGTATCGACTTGTATTCGAAAATGTGGTATCTAAAGCAGTATTTTTGTCCGTCACTTTTTTTGTATGGCCCAATGATGTTTCTGGAAACTCTGTTGGTAATTTTATTGAAATTATTTTATTTGATAGTGTCTATAAAATCGATTTGTCCCGACCAACAAGGTAGATCTCTTTACACAAAGTGGGCAGAATAGCCAGGCTATCTTCTGATTTACGTTAAATATTATGTTGTACAAATTAATGGGTACACAGGTTTTTATTTCTGTCTATAAGAATTTATTTTAAAAAGGCTGATCATAATAGATTTAACAGTTCTGAAATGCTTCACTAAGAGGGTGATGTGTTTGAAAAAAAACATTAATTTTACAGTAAAAAAATGACAGTATTCAGGCTACGAAGAAATAAACTCAAGCAATAGCCCACTACAGTACAGTTTAAGATAGAGTTGTCCGTGGACCGGTTTGCGTCGTAGGCAAAACTAGTGGATGGCGAAGGGGTTTCCCACTTTCATTCTGAAGCAGTAAAGGTCGCCATCCACGTAATTTTAACCGTTTTCATTTTTTTCATCCGCGTTCATAATGGGGCGTTAAAAAGACGCAGATTTAAAACATGTAGTTCGCATATAGCTATAATTAACCAACCTATCCGCGAAACCGTCAGCGTTCACCTGCAGGGGTAGGAGCCCATGAATTAAGCGTAATGCAGTGGGTCTTGGTCCTTTATTACAGACCTAAGTTCAAGATCAAAATCTCAAAATGAAAACTGGTAGGCAAATTAATACACAGGTAGGCAAATTAATCTTGCATTAATTAAATAGGCAACTACCACTGAAATGCAGATATTTTATATTGTACGTTGTCAATATAAGATTTTTCATTGATATGATAATTGTCTTATAATAGGATTTGAATGCCTATGTTCTTTGGACTGCTGGAATTCCAAAGTGCAGTCTTCTATTTGGAAACAGGCCAAAAATCTGTTAAACATAAGACTCAGCTTTTCCAAATATCAGTAAAGGAATGTATTCTTCCTGAGGAAAATGGCACAGGCACATTCAACTGAACATTATCCCCATCAATACATCTTCTAACAACTGATCAAGGTCATGGGCAGGATAGAACTCAAAGTAATTTGTCATCAGTATGTGGAGCTCAAAGGAATTGGTTGTTGCGGTGCAGAATTTGAAACTCTGGATAATAATATAACAATATTACCTTACTACATAAATATGTTTCGAATTAACATGCATGAGAGTAAAGGGGTTTTTCTTAGATGAGTTTGCTGAGGAGTTGGATAGTTTCAGGAACTAAGCTGAGGTGATGTTGTATAGCCTAAGTATCAAAAGTTTCACCATCATTGTTATGGAAGTTTAGCAAAGAGGTAGCTGCTCGGGTGGATGGGATCCACTGCAGTCTTCCCAGCTCTTGTCTTTTATTGTTGGTAGCTTACAGCGGAGACCTTTAAGCAATGCAAACCACCCACTATTGCCTGGTGTTCAAGAGGGAGGAGGCAGAGGGGAAGGATTAAGACGGTCAAAACATTTGCGATCATAGGCTGAGTTTGATGCATGCATTTTTTTTGGGGGGGGGGGGGGGGGGGCAAAAAACATGCATCCTGCTTACCATATGTGCCAACACATATCTGATGCACACAAAACCTATTATTTTGTCTACTTATAGGGTTCCAACAAACCTTATGCAAAGGTGCAAAATGCCAGCATAGAACATAAGACCAGCATTGCACTAATTGCAATTTTGATTCAGGGGACTGGGGGGGGGCATTGCCTCCCATCCCCACAGCTCCATCCATGCTTGTGATTTTGGCTGAGTAGGAGTTCAAGAATGGACGTGAGACATTGACCTTCCTGAACTGCCAAAGGAAGAATGATCTCTTTTCTAATTATAGAGTTGATGTTAACATTCCACCTCAAGGTGTTGTTGAACTCATTTTGTGGTGTTTGACTGTTTTAGTGGGACAACATCCTCAGCTTGGAGATCTTGATGTGCTTTGTGCCACTTGTGCCTTGGCTGGCAAATGGAGAGACACTCGTTTTCTTCACAAGGTCCAGAATTAATTTGCTAGTGCTCATATTTATCTCCACCAATAGGTTAAGAGATCTTTCTCTGTGAAGGCTCTAGGGGGCGCAGGTGCCTAGGAACAATGATTGGATTTTTTACCTTTGGCTCGAACGAAGCATTTTTCAGACAACCACTGATCCTCATGAACTTGCTCTCCTGTGGGGTAGTGTACTCCTCTGAATATGCATCCCTCTGGACTGACTCAGTGGTAGCCTTTTTAGCCACTGCTCATTTGGAGGAATGTGAGGTGGGTTACACTGATTGCATCCTTTGAATACATGTGATGAACTTGCAGAGGTGAGAGTGAGCTTGTTGGAGAAGGCAGCATCTGTTAGTAGGGAGCCCAAACTGGGGAAGTACTGAAACCATTCTGAGGTAAGTTTCACTTCTTCAGTACAAGTAGCAAGACTAGCTATTTGTAGACTATCTTTCACATCCAGTTCTGAATATATCAGCTCAACAAACTCATGCACATCACAATCAGGAGATCTGTGAAGGAAATGTGGTCTACTAAGTCATATAGTGCAAAGGAGGACTGACCTTGTAGCCAGATGAGCTGGATTCTGATCCACAGGCATGTAGTACCATTGTTTGGGAAATGTATAGGTAAACATGATTATGCACAAATACAACATCATTAAGAGAGAATAATATTGTAATGTATCACAACACAGCCATGTAAAGCACCGTGGGACAACTCTATTGTGAAAGGCGCTACATAAAAATAAATTGAATTGAATTGAATATACAGAGAATCACTTGGGCTTATTTAAGATGTATTCATGTAAGACTTTGCTATCATAATAAAACTTAACAGCATGAGGTCCTCAAGGATCAATCTGACATAATATATTGTAGGCACCACAAAATTCAAGATAAACTGTGGGCTCTGGCCGTGGAACTAACTTTGCTATTCCAAGAATAAATCTAACTCGGCATTGCCCTTCATCAGTGATGACTCAAGTTTGTTGCCAAATTAGACACATCAAAACAGTTGCTGATGTGTGCATAATACATATTACTAGAATGCCTTCACAATGAACAGTGTTCTTCATTATATCTCAAACTACAAAACATAAAACGAATAGGTATATAATAAACTTACAGCATCATAACAATTGTCCTGCTGCACTGAGATTTTTCCACCATGCTTTCACCATGCTCTACACAGTGAGAAGAAGCAAAGACATATATTTTCTATATCTGCATTAGCTTCAAAATAAGAGTTCACACATCAGAATGTGCAAGTCCATGTAACAAAATAGCATACTTTTTGCCTCTACGATAACAGTGGTAACTTACATAAAAATACAGAGGGCTGAACAATAACTAAGGACAACAGTTCTTTATATTTAAGTTTCAAATCCACACATTTTGTTAGACATTTGTACTCAGTGTATATCCCCATGTACATCTTCAGGAACAAGAGTCTGTGTTGTTCAGAGTGTTCATTATGATGCCTACATCAGCAGAATAAAGAGACATGAAGTCTGGGTCACAACGGGTCAGCTTACTCACTCGCCCCATGTGCATATGTACTGACTATGCCTGTTCACTGTGCGGCTTTGCTAAAGGTGGCACAATAGCCAATTAGCTAACGTGTTTTTCATTAATGGGTCTGACTGTAATCTGCTGAGGGCTGTATCAGCTTTGGAAGAAAATAGGCCAATGCTTTGTACATTGAAAGTGCAAGGCAGTCATGGACCGATTGGCCACAAGATGATATATTAAGGGAAATTACAAAGTTGAGATACATAGCAAGAAGTGCAAGGCATGACATTTCTAACAATATTATAGAATTATTTAATAAATAATTTTATATGGGCACTATAGAGTTTATGTATGTGTGCCATACTTTAACGCATAGGAATTGTTAGTGGAATGGTATAAGGAATGCAGATTACAATACATGAAACAATCAAGTTAAATAAAAACAAACAAAAATGTGGCAAATGGCCTCCTTGAATCTTGCAGCTTGTGTTGTTCTCACTTCAGCTATGGAAAATAAATTCAAGCCCATGGCAGTTCTGTTCAGGTGTACAAAAACATTTTTAATAGGAAGAAAACCATTCTTTTCAAGCTCATAAAACAACATTTTAATAATTCATGTCTCTCCAGCAGTTGTGAAATACAGGAGGTTTTAAGATTGGCATGTGTGGGAATGAGGTTGACTATTAATGTCTGAAAGCTCTGGGGAGGATACTGAGGTAATTGGGAATAAAGGAAAGGAACAAAAGAGCAAACATGCAACAGATTAAACACTTCCTAAAACCATAAATACAATTATGACTCCCTTCCACAGGATGTAGCCATTTCTAGTACTGACGATCAAAGATCCCCCCTACTCTAGTTGGATCACCTTCCTATCTGGATGACCTGTTGTTCCATCTCTCACTTATCAGCAAAGAGCACATGAGTGAGGTTACTGCACATAACTGCTTGGTCCGCAGCTGTCCATGGCTCATTAAAGGAACAGGGTATTTTACCACTTAGCAGTAGTAGGCCGGCAGCCGCAGTCACCTTAAATGTGAGCACTAATGAGGCAGCTGGGATGACACCTACAGCTATTTTAAAGTGTCAACTTTCGTTCCAAAACAGACAATAAGTCAAGCGGTTGAAATTCAGCATGTTCTCGGCAGATGTTATATTCATCACCATACATCTGCACTTAAGCCAAAACAATGGATCAAATTAAATTTAAGATTAAAATTTGACTTTGTTCAATATATAAATTTCTTCATATAAGCCTGTTACACGTTTGGGTTCTTAGACTACTAGTAAGGTTGGTGGCATCTGTACCAGTTGATTGTCCTTGCTCCAACCCCCCCCCCAATC